TTAGATCATTTTAAAAGGCATTGAAGATCTTCGATGTTATCTGCCACTATGGCTGTATCATCGGCATACCTGATGTTATTAATAAATATGCCGTTAACTTTAATACCCTTATTAGAGTCTGCCACTGCTTCTGCGAAGGCTTTTTCTACGTATAAATTGAACAGCATTGGAGACATTATATAACCTTGTATCCTTGACTAATCTTCTGTTTCGTTGAAATTTTGAAGACGTATTGTTGCAGTCTGGTTCCAATACAGATTGGCGATAATTCTTATATCCTTGGCATCCAATCCCAACTCTTGTAGGTATTTTATCATCAATTCGTGTTTTACATTATCGAATGCTTTCTCATAATCGATGAAACAGACAAAAACATCCTTTCTTTAATCTAAACAATTCTGTATTAATGTTTGCATACTAAACATCGCTTCTCTCGTTTTTGAAACCAAACTGACTCCATCCACTGACCTCTTCACATTTCTTAAACAATCTAGTGTGCAGTATTCTCAGGAAAAGTTTTAAAAAGTGACTCATTAGGCTTATTAGTCGGTGGTCCTTGCAGAAGTTCGTAAGTGGTGTTTTGGTAGAGCGATAAATGTAGAGCGAAGCCAATCTTTGGGAATCTGGCCCGTATCGTAGATGTCGTTAAAGAGCTTGACAATAATGTCTAGGTTTTCTTCATTAAGTAATTTGATTGTTTCTGAGTACATATCATCTGTTCCTGGGGTTTTGTTATTTTTTAATAGTTTGATAGCGTGTATTTCAGCTTTCAAAATACTTGGGCCATACAAATGGTCTCCCAGTTGTGATGACTTTTGTGTTGTCATCATTGAACAAATTGGATGTGTTCAATTTCCAAGTATTAAGTATATCGCTAGGGTCCGTTATTAGTTCATTTTGGTCATTATGTATACCAGTGACTTGTTTTTCTTGAAGATACAGCAATTTCCTTAATTTTCTTGTGAAGATTGAAGATGTTGCCGAGTTTATATAGGTTTTCAGCCTCGGTGCAAAGTGTAGTCATCCAGATCTTCTTCGCCGCTATAATTTCTTTACGACTTTGACTGTGTATATTTCGGTACCTTACTTGGTCCTGCCTAATCTTACACTGACTGTCATCCCTTTCATTGTTGGTAGTTGTTTTTTACTCTCGAGTAGAAAAGTGTTGTTCATCTCATCAAATGATTCTTTTATAGTGGTCCATGACTTTTCAACATCATCCTCAGTTGCCATTCCCCGTGTGAAGGCGGGCCATTCAAGTAGAATACCTTCACTGCTTCTCCTGCTTGTCGTAAAAGGCGACTAAATGGAGCAGCTGTCCGCTGTCCACTACCCAAATTCCTAACCTGTCCCTGTGTCATACGACCTTCACCCCTACCAATCATACATGCCCTGATACCCAAACCTATACCCGAGGAGAAAACCTCCACTAATACAAAAACCAGTGGAAAAAACCACCGAGTACAGATGGATATGCATAGAACAGGCGACTATGCATCATTCTAATATATCGCCACCATAACCTCAAGGTGTAACACCATCGTGCCGAAGGGGTGCATGGCCCAAGGGGAAAAATGGGTCTCAAGCGATGTCCTAAGGAGAAGGCGAACCGAAGGGGATTATAGCCTTGGCGGAGTATGGGCGCACTGCCCCCTGGACCGAAGAATCGACTCAACTCGTGGGAAGAAAAATGGAAAAATACTTAATAAAAAGAGAAGGTAAGCATAGGGGTAGGAGAGTCTATGGAGGATATAGGCGAAGAGAGGCTGGCGACATTAGCGGAAGAAGAGGAAAAGGACAGTCGGGGGGAGAAAAATGATGAGCAAAATGAGAAGAAAGAAGGAGAAAACGAGAACATAGGTGAAGCAGTGGAGGAGAATGATAGTGAAAACGAAACGGGAGATAGTAATGACGAGAGTGAATGGACGACCAATATTAACAGAAAAAAGGAGAAAGGCATAGGAGCTGGTGGAAATATAAATGAAAGTAAGATAGATTTAAATAGAAGTAAAACAGAGAAAGGAATGTCAAAAATGAAGGGATGCATCGACGAGTTAGTGAACGGCAGTTAGTTAGTACGGCAGATTTGGTGCGAAATGGAAAAAAAACATTAGAGAGCTAATGTGTAGTGCTACAGAGGATATTGACAAAAGGGAAGGCATAACAAAAATGTATAACAACAATAGGGACGCAAAAAAATAACTGTAGCAACAACTACGAGGTGCGTAGGGACCCAGGTATAAGTAAAGAGAATTCAGAATTACAAATAAAAAGGATTGAGGAACTATATAAGAAAATGGATACGGCAGAAAGCACCAAAGAAATAAGTGAAGTACTAGATCAAGAATGGCCAGAAGAGGTTTATGAGAAAGTAACCGTCTGTGAAAAAGGAATTTTGGAGGCATCGGATGATGTGGCAATTTTTGTAACAGAGGATGCTGCTGACGCAAGAATGAGGGGGGATTTTGATGCAAGGTACCCAGACCTCCCCGGATTATGCGTGGAAGAAGATGAAAATGGAGGAATTGGGACTATGTCTCAGCTAACATGTACAGTAGAGGAAAATGGGAGAGAGAACATCAAAAAAATTCGCCTACAAGCTGAAACAAAGAAGGGGAGAAGAACCAATAGATGTTAAATTCTTAGCAGCGGCCAGGAAGCTATTCGACCGTATGGAAAGAATGGATAGAGAACAGAAAAGAAAGGGACGGTAATCATCACAAAACCGAAGGACAAGCTATGCTGAACTTGTAAAAGAGTTAAGGGAAGAGCTAGGAGTAAGAGAGGATGTCGTCATAAACAAGGTGAAACAAATCAGACAAGGCGTGGTCCTGGAATTAAATGGAGGCAGGAAAAAGGCGGAACAAGTCAGGAATTTAGTAGCATCAAGACAAGGACGTGCAACATCTTTCTTTCTCTTCTTCTCTAACCAATGGGTTTATCAAGGAGTGTTTTTCTAGCTGGGCCAATTTGTTTTATCCACATTACATGCCCTATCCACCTCAGACGTCTTATCTTAATATATTTCAAGATATCTGGTTCCTTGTATATTCTATAAAGTTAGAAGTTGTATCGTTTTCTGTACATTCCATTGTTATTCACCGCTCCATAGATTTGATTTAGTACTTTTCTTGCAAAATATTCCAACATGTTTTGATTACTTTTTATTGGAGTCCAGGTCTTTGATTTCTGAACCATACGTTAGCACTTTTGTAGAGTCTTACCTTTGTATTTCTCGATATAATTGAGCGATTAAAAAGGGAATTGAGCCCATAATAGCACCTGTGTCAAGAGTTTCTACGGTTGTCATTGGCTTCTTTCTTTCAGCCACCGTCTCCATTCCTTCTATCCTACCATTCTTTCCATGGCTTCGTCCACCTTGCAACGATTTACTCTTCTGACGTGTCTATCATAAATTAAACGTTTTTCTTTAAAATAACTTAGGATGTTTTTGTTCTACTGCCATTATTGTTTTTATCTCCTTATTTCTAATACGATCCAGTCTTGTTACTCTACCAGCTTCTTCTCATGAATTCAATTTTGGACAGCGGACGATTGCGCCGATGGTACCTGATACAATCAGGTCTCTATAAAGGATTCTTTAAGCTATGGACACAGAATGATAAACAATGAGAATGCCGCTCTGCTTGTCAAGATAAGTACGCGCATCTCGTTCCCTCAGATGGAATCAGCCATGATTTAAACGGTATCAGTGCTTCAGTTAAATTTTATATGGTGTGCATAGAAAAATTAACCCGGTTTAATTTATTTACGACAGCATAGACATAATACACACTATTTTATTCGTACTTTTAGTTGCAGAATAGATTAAATTATTTTAAATTTACTAAATTATTAATCTCTAAAAATTTAAATTACAGTTCTGTCGAGTCTGTTTCCGTTTAAAATAAGGCGATCGCGTGCTGAATCTTCAAAGGTGGCATCTGAGAGTGGGCATTCTGATTGGTATTTATTCCGTATTAAGGGCACAATTGCACTGGCAGCAAATTTAATCCGTACCGCATTAACTAATCCGATAACTATTAGGTACTTACTTACAGCTTTAATCTAATAATAATTATTAAAAAATGATTTATACTTAGTAAATATGTCCCGAGGTGTATGTTTTTGGAATAAATTCTTAGTTTACTTCCATTTTGAATTACTTAACCGAACCTATTTTGTATATAAATGCATTATGGTGTGGTGGTACAGCGATATTCTTATAATAGAGGCAATTCTCTGCCCCACACTGTACATTACATATTCTCTTCTTTGTATTTATGGTATTCTGTCTTTCCCATAGTGTCCAGTTCATTTGTTTGATACATGTTCTTGTCTATGCTAAACTGCTAGTTATCTCCTGCTCAGTGGTTCCATCCTTTGAGATTATAATTCTTAATTATGTGAATTTTTCAGTGCTATTAATTTCCACACACACAATTTAATAAAACTGTGTTTGATATATGCCTCTCCCACTCTGGTTGCTGCTCTTTCTTCCACTCAAATATTAATACCTCATCTATAAAAATGCTATCATCTATAAATTGTGTATTATTTCTCTTTTCCCTTTTTTTTCAATCATTGATTTATTTGTTTAATATTAATTTCCTAGCTATCCAACTAAACTGTTTTATAGAACAGTGAGCACGATTTTACACTTTATTAGAAACATATCTTGATAAAATTTCCTGCAATAATGGTTCTTTAGTTTTGAATTTGGAATATTTAATTAGAAAACTCCAGTAGAGTACTCCACCTGATTCCAGCACAAATACCACTTAATGGCAACATCATGTAGATTGGAAAGATATGCTACTATTAAATGCTTAAAAAAGAATTGTTTCCTAATTGTTATCCACTAGTTATTTCCAGGAATATAGTCTTCACAAATCCTCAAAACAAAAATCAATTTCTTTAAGATATAGATATCATATTGGCATTCCACATAATGCATGGTGCCCCTTCCTACCCAATATTCAGATTGATAACAAAAACAATATATAGGATATAAAAGTTTTATTATACCAATTATCTTACATAACCTCATCATAACAATATGGTCTTAATAATCAAAGTTGTATTCAAAATATGATGTATCAAAAGTATGAACTCTAACAAAACCGTCTTCTCCTCCAGAACTGTATCCCTTTCCATCGGGATGGAACGCTACACTGTTTATGGGACCGAAATGACCCTTTACTCTTCCAAACTCTTCTTCAAATATCATATGGAAGAACCTAAAACAAAGTTGAAGTTATTAATTATAATATTCTTGCATATTTAAACAAATAATCTGTCAATAATGAATGGAAAAGAGCAACATGTCTATAAATAGAGTAGAATAGAGTAGAGTAAATTTTTATTTGCATAAATTTTTAATTGAGCAAATAACGTCACATTATTAATTACAGATTAAAAATGAAGAAGAAGGAATGAAGAAATCAAGAAGAACCTGAAATTTTAAAGTCTAAAATTCTTCATGTTATAAAATCGGTCAAAATTAAGAAAGCAACGGATAAAATCCCATCTGAACTCTTAAAAATTGATATGAGATCACCTGAGTATACTAATTAAGCTTTTTTATAATGCGTATAATACTGGTGCAATACCTGAGGAATACCTGAAGTATGTTTTTATAACAATTCCGAAGAATCATCGGACAAAATGATGCGAGGAATACAGATTAATTAGTGAGATGAGCCACATATTAAAAATTTTTGAGCTAGACCTAGATGAAACCTCTCATGGATTTAGGAATGAGCTGGATACCCGTGAGACACTTTTTGGTTTAAACGTACTTCTCCAAAAAGTCGCGACCAAAATATATTTATGCGGTTTTCATCGATTACGAAAAGGCTTTCGATAGGGTACAGCATCGAACGCTTTTGGGCATATTAACCAAAGGCATCGACGGTATCATAGAAAACTTGGAACATTGGAACCAGAAAACAGTCGTTGGAGTCGATGGGAGATTACCGCCGAATGTTAAGCGATTTTGACGATACTGCCATCTTATGCAATAGTCTTTAGGGTCTTTAAGAGTTTTTCGATTGTGTAAACAGAAGGTCAACTCTATGTTAACCAATCTCCTGTAGAAAGAGACTAGAACTACCTCGGTACTATAATAAATGAAGAATGGACCAAGAACCAGGAGATTAGAGCACGCATCGCAAAAGCTAGATCCACCTTTAATCGGATGGGGGCCTTCTTCAAGAGTCAAAACCTCTCTCTTGATACAAAAGTAAAAATGCTGCGATGCTACGTCTTCTCTGTCCTTTTATATGGTGTTGAATCGTGGACCTTGAACGAAGATATGTGCAAAAAACTGAAAGCATTTGAGATGTAGCTATATCGGAGAATACTCAAGATCCCGTGGACTGACCGGGTCACAAATGAGGAGGCCTTAGAAGAATGAATAAGAACCGAAAGGTACTGACCACCATTAAATCTCGAAAGTTATCATTCTTCGGACATATGTGAAATAAATCCAGATATGCTCTCCTTAAGCCATCCTGCAAGGAAAAATATTTGGAAAGCGAGGTCCAGGAAGAAAAAGAACATCTTGGTTAAAGAACCTCAGAATCTGGTTCAATCGCTGCTGCAGATAAGATAAAAATTGCCATGATGATCGCCAATATTCGTAACGGATAGACACATCAAGAAGAAGAAGAAGAAGATTAAGATAAGAACGATAATTCATACTTACAGCATGTTCTTAGAGGAAACTGATATAGAATCCTTCATCTGATCATGAAAGGTAAAACCGAGGGCCGTAGAGGAATTGGAAGGAAGCAGATGTCATGACAGGAATATGCATTGCCGAACCACTATTTCCATTGGCTGAAGAGCATAAACAACTTGCCAATGTAATTGATAGCGTAAGAGGGACTAATATGGCACTGAACGGAGGAAGAAGAAATAAAGTGTATAAAAGATCTACACCTACAAAAGAAGATATTGTTATCTGCCTTTCGAATAATCTGGATGGCGGCATAAAGTCTCGAATAAATTGAAAAATCTCTATGGGGATCAAGCTACGGTTCACAAATTATATAGATAAAGGACCATTTCGAGTTTGGACAGTTTAAATATTAAATATACAATTATTTTGTTTTTAGTGTTAGAATACATGAACTAAAATAAGTGTTAGAAAACTGTACAACACTTAAAGACTGTAGATTAAAATATAATAAAGACAGTGCAATATGAAAGAACAAAATAGATATTGGTTTTCAAGAAATTGATGTAAAAATACCTAAAATGCAGGTTGGCGATTTTAAAAAACAGTTAAAGGTTGGATGAACGTAGGATAATTTATTCCTTGGTGATTATTTAAATTATTCAGTTGAATTAATTTAAGGATTTAAATTATTTAGTTTATCAAAATATTTAACCTCACGGTTTAAATTTAGAATAATTATAATTACGGAACACAACTGAAGACTCATTATTTTTGCATGTTTTAGTAAGCAAAAATGCAAAATTTTAATTAATTCGTAAAATATAAAATAAATATTAACATATGACATATTCTTTGCCCATAAGCAATTATCTCTTATTAGTGCTTAGTTTTTAATTATACAAGGTGTCTTATAACAAGGATATGGAACTTTGTCTTAGAAGTTGATCACCCCGTATAAGTAAATATTTTAATGAAATTAGTGATGCATTGATTCATCTGACCAGTGTCTCGTTCTCAAAATGGCCAATAAGAAAGCTACCAAATTATATGCTTAAAGAGGAACGGTTTTGTGATTATTTAATTTATGCCACTTGAATTAAAATTGTAATAATTTTATGATCCAAAAGCTTATTTTTATTAATCTCTTATATTACTTCATATTTTCTTAGTACTTAGTATTTGGCAAAGATAAATACACATTTAAAAATAGTAAATATCTCATATTAAATGAGTAATCACATCTCGGAACTGTATGTTCCGAGATATATATATATATATATATATATATATATATATATATATATATATATATATATATATATATATATATATTCAAGATATTCATATATTCGATATATATATTCAAGATGGCCGCTGTCGAAGACGTACGACCAATTGATGGTGAAAACTTGGAAATAAATTTTAAATGCTGCACTAAAAAAGAGTGTAAAATAGTTGTGTGTAAATATTGTTATAGTGTTTTTCACTCTAGCTGTACAAAAAGATGTGGATTTGAAACATGTGAGAGAAATATCATAATATGCTGTGACAAAAAACGCGGTGATACCGAAACAAACGAGATGTCAACTACAGAAGAATTATCCAAACTGAGATTAGAAAATGACCTCTTAAAAAGACTAATTATGGAAATGGAAGACAAAAATGTTGTATTAAAAGAAAACAATAATTTATTGCGCCAAAAAGTAAGTTATCTAGAACAAAAAACCGCAAAAAAAACTGAATACGAAAGTGTAAATAAACAAGATCAGATAATGGATCACTCTGTTGATAAAAAATTCTCAAGGTCAGTACCACCTCGTACACAAAATAGATCATTCACAGAAGTAGTAGCTCAAACGTCAAAAAGTTTAAGTAGTTCCTCTGAACAGAAGACAAGTGACAACATTAATGTCAACCTCAAAAATAAACAAACAACTGAGGTTGATGAGCAAATAAAAAAACATAAAATAACTGAGGAAAACAGCGATAGTGACTCAGATGGGTTCCAAAAAGTTATACACAGGAGACATCGGTACATAACTAAAAAAAATATAGGAACGGCAGTAAGCGATGACGATAGCACAAGTGGTTTTGCAGGGGAAAAGAAAAAAGTGTGGCTATACTTGTATAGAGTGAAGAGAACAACAAAACAAGAGGAGATATGTAAATTTCTAATAGAAAAGAGGAAAATGCAACAAGAGTCTATTATGGTAAAGGAATTGCCAAGTCAAGAAAATATGTTGAAGAGATTTGTTGTATCGGCTCCCTTTGAATATAAGGATGACATGTATAAACCAGAGTTTTGGCCTAATGGTGTTGGCATAAAAAGGTTCCAGATGCATCGTCATAAGGATTTTCTAGATAACAGAGGTGGAAATTTTTCATAGGAGAAAATAGAGAGCACAAGACACATCAACACAAGGAAATTGAAATACAAAACACAGTCACACGAGCAACGAATATAAGTATCATCCACCAGAACCTCCAATCCATAGGAAATTGTATTGATGAAATAGAAGAACTTCTAACAAACAACAGTGACTGTAAAATATTGTGCACAACAGAACATTGGAAAACTAAAGAAGAATTAAGTGAATATGGAATTAACAATTTTGTGCTGACAGCTAGTCATTGTAGAAATAATGTGAATGAACATGGAGGAACAGCTATATATCTTAGTAAAGACATCATTGGCCAGGAAAGAAAGGATATACAAGAGTTATCAGTAGATAGGGTAATAGAGTGTGCTGTATGCGAAGCTAATATAGGTAATAACAAACTCATTATAGCATCAGTTTACAGACCATCAGGTAGCGATCTGGCAGTTTTTTTAAACAAATTTGATATTATACTGGGAAGAATTATGATAGAAAACACAATTATAATTATAGGGGGAGATTTCAATATCGATCTTAAGAATAACACATTAGATAAAGTAAAATTTTGTATGTTAATTAACTCATATAATATTTGTCATGTAATTGAAGACTACACTAGAGTAACTGCCACATCTAAAACTTGTATAGATAACATACTAACAAATATGCAATCATATGTGTCAGTAGAAGTCTTGCACGCTGGAATCTCTGATCATTCTGCCCAAAAATTAACTTTTCAGGTAGAGGAAGCAGAAATGAATACTCTTGAAATGAAAAGACATTTTAGTACACATAATATTGAAACCTTTATAAGTAAATTACATAATCATGACTGGATTAATTTAAGTTACAAATGTGTAAATGATCAATGGAATACTTTCTTAAATCAGTTTCTGTATATATTCAATCAGTGCTTTCCTTTTAAAAAGTTAGATTCTAGGCAACGTAAAAAAGGCCTTAATAAAAGAGATGATCCAGAGATAATAGAATGTAAGACTCGTTTAGACATCTTGTTTACAATGAGCAGAGTTAACCATAAATTCTATGATTCCTATAGACAGGTAAAAAAAGAATATAATAAGAAACTAATAACAAAACGATCAAAGCTATATGAAAACAGGATATCTGAAGCTGCCAATAAAAATAAATGCATGTGGCAAATTGTTAGTGAAATTAATGGTCGATTAAAAAGTGTAAATTCAATAAAAGTAGAGGGTAGTCCTCAAGAGATTGCTGATAAATACATGATACACTTAAATACTTCTTTAAATAACACTTTATCTCAATTACAATACACTGAATATAAAGACAACATTGCAAGTAACATAAATTCAGTGTTTGTCGCACCTGTGACAGAAACTGAAATTATGGATATAACTAAAAATTTAAAAAACAAAATGAGTTGTGGAATTGATGAAATACCCACTAAAATCCTTAAACTTTGTATAAAGGAGATAGTGAATCCTCTCACTACAATCATTAATAATTCACTAAAATCTGGTGTATTTCCTGAATGCCTGAAAACTGCCATAGTAACACCTGTTTACAAAAAGGGTGATCCTAAATTAATTAATAACTATAGACCAATTAGCCTTCTATGTTCCTTTTCAAAAATCTTAGAAATGACTATGTATAGGCGGATAACAGAATTTTTAACAAAATGTCATATTATTAGTGCAAATCAGCATGGTTATCAACAGGGAAAATCAACTCAGACTGCGATTTTTCAATTTGTCTGGGATATTTTGAAATGTACTGAGATTGGTCATATGGCTTTGGGTCTCTTTTTGGACCTATCAAAGGCATATGACTGTTTAGTGCATGACATATTATTTGATAAATTGGAGAAATATGGTATACGTGGACCAGCATTGAACTGGTTTAAGTCCTACTTGGCAAATAGGAGACATTTAGTAAAAATACATAAAAACACTGAAATCGGCATCTCATCTGAAAGCACTATCAATATTGGAGTACCACAAGGAAGTGTGATTGGTCCTTTACTGTTTGTGATCTATATCAATGATCTTCATGGTCTAGTGGCTAATACTACTTCCAGCATAACAAATTATGCAGATGATACTAACATTTTAGTCAGTGGTAAAGACATGTCTGTTCTAAGCGTTAATGCTAGTTTAGAGTTCCAGAAAGCTAAAGACTGGTTTTCTATGAATAGGTTGGTTTTAAATCAAAATAAAACAGATCTTCTTTTGTTTAAGACAAATTATGCACATTCAGATATGCCAAACAGTATTATTGTAAATAATGACACTTTAAATATTAGCAGCAGTACCAAATTTTTAGGATTATATATTGATAGTTTTTTATGTTGGGATAAACATGTTGACCAGTTATGTATGTCTTTGAGTAAAGTGATTTACAGCTTTAGAGTTCTAAAAAAATACATGAATAGTAACTCATTAAAAACAGTGTATCATGCTAATTTTGAAGCAAAATTTAGATATGGTCTAATAAATTTTGGACACAGTAGGGACATAAATAATGTATTTCTGGTTCAGAAAAAAATAATCAGAGTTATGTTTGACTTAAAAAGTAGGGAATCATGTAGAGGGCATTTTAGGAGTAATAATATTTTAACAGTTTATGCTGTATTTATTCAAGAATGCTTACTGTTTCTATATAAAAATAAAATACTATTTAGGAACTTTGAGCCCAATAGTATAGTAAATACCAGGTTATATAATTATAAAATTCCAATACACAGGTTAAGTATAACAGAAAAAAACGCTCTTTATTGCTGCATCAAATTGTTTAATAAACTGCCTGAACCTATTAAAAGGGAGGAAAGATTAAGTGTGTATAAACATCAAATATTTAAATTACTGGTAGCTCTTGAGCCATATTCTGTGGAGGACTATTTGCATATGTAACGGTTAGGAATAAGTAAATAATATTTTCGTTTGTGACACTGTTTTTTTTTAAATAATTTTATGTTCACTGAATGTATATTGTTTTCTAAAAATAAAGATATTGTTATTGTTATTGTTATTATGTAGTATGTGAATTTTCAAATATTAACGTAATAGTGGAGGCTGTAGCAGTTATATTATTAATATATGTTAAATATGTTATATTTCTATGCAGATAAGATCACTTATCTGCATTACACATTAACGCAGACATTACAAATTAAATATGCTGATCAAGGAGAAGGATAGGCCAGGCACTCCGCCACAATATACGGCTCACTGTCAACTAGGTGTTGATATAAATAGTAAAATAATAGGATAATGAAACCATATCAAACAGAAAAAGGGATAGCAGATGCTGCAATAACATTGTCTCTTCCTCAAGTACATGAAGCTGAAAGGTCAAATTTAATACTCAATGAAATAATTGCAGCTTTTGCTGTATAATTTAAATGAAGAGATATGAAATACCAACCTTGAATCGAATTTTCCAGCCTTAGCTGAAGTGGTTGTTACATCCATAGCATCCTGACCACCACCAAGCACTACATGGTCAAAAATGGGACTAATGGCTGCCGAATTTACAGGTCTCTCAGTTTTGTATGTTTTAAGAAGTAGCAAATCATTTTTATCAAAAAGTTTAGCAGTATGATCTTTAGAAGCTGTGATGAACATGGTTTGGTCCTTATTCCATTGCATGTCATTGATAAGAAGATCATGCTCTCTGACTTTGTTTAGTTGTTTACCAGTCTAAAAATATCGGACAAAATTAATGAGAAGTATTAATCCTATTGGGGTATTGGGACCAACTTTTTATAAGCTTAAATAATGTTTTATTTAAAAAAAAACCGAAAATAGATGCTCATAGAAGGTTAACAATTAAAAGGACTATGTCATCCATTTTAAACGCAAATAAAAAGTTTTGTAACACAGTTGATAGACACTAGTAAAACACATGATTATTATTATTAGTATGCATCTAGGATCAAAACCTAGGTCAATGTTTATTTTATTTTTGTTACACTGTTTTACATTTTGATGTGAGAGTTGATCCTGCAAATAATTATTACTATGCTGCTCACCCAGGGCTTCACATATAAACCTGCTTACACAGCTTATTTGTTTATATTCTGACATCATCTGCATCAATGGACACCTTTTTTGTTAAGTGTTGGCCTTCTATGAGTGTCTATATTCGTTGGTAGGACACATGTAAAACTTTTCTCAAAAATGTGTTAAATAAACCTAATTGTTGCCTTTACCTTAAGATCCCAATGAATAAGTTCTCCATTTTCATGGCCTGTAATAAAACTTTCATCTAAACTATCCCACAAAATAGACGATACTCTAGATCCAGTTATGGGCACTCTCAATATAGGCTGCTGGTTACCTGTGCTATCATCTACACACCTAGTATCTACAACGAATACCTCACAAGGCTGCTTCATAGCTTGATCGGTAGTATATACAGCCATGTTAGCAGAGTAGCTAAACATGCACGTCCTAACTGCAGAAGCAGAATTAATGTTTCCTATTTCTTTACCAGTTTCACAGTCCCAAATTTTGCATGTATTGTCACCAGCACCTGACATGAATCTGGTTGACGTCCAGTCAATGTCGATACACCAGATAACTCCCTGATGTCCATTAAATGTACCCAAACGTTCTCCATTGAGAGCATACCATACATCTGGTTTGTTACCTTTAGATGCTGAGAACAAGAGGTCACCTTCTCGATTATATTTAATTTGTGTGATGGCACGTTCGTGCCCTTGCAACATAATCGGCTTCTGAAAATTTAAAAAATACAAATTAATGAGAGATATTTGAATTTGAGGTTAGTGTTCAATAAATAATATGGTGAAAAATATTTTTTTAATATAAGTGCATATATTCAGAGGAGTATTTGAGTCGTACACTTACCATATTGGAGATCAATCTTTAACTTGGTTTAATTATTTATTATAATATCTTATGTTATTTATTAATAATGTGAACTTCTGACACATTGATGAGGAAAGAACCGGGGTTAAGATTTCTACTTTACCAACACTTTCCACACTACAGAGCCCTCTAGTAAGATAAGTCCTACAGAAATATTTGGAAAAGTGTTTCTAGCGTCATACGTGGACGGGCCCAAAACTAATTTTATTAGGCGGCAAGTTCAAAATGTAGGTTCTAAACTTTGGGCAGCAAATTCAAAATCATTATTTGGCTCATGGAGATATACGTCCATGATTTGGCTAAATATACAAAACTAGTGTGAAACCATCGCAACAGCATGTCAAGGCATACCACCACCTAACATGACTAATAGCGCCGTCGCCATTACAAACGGTTGGACCCATGCTAATCACTGTCTTCACTTGTCCTATACCAGTTACACTACTATGTGTGGAATATACTGTAACACTGTCAAAGCAGAGAACTAGTCCTCTGGTCAAAGTCACAAATCACCTACTTCTGTGTTATTAATAGTCTGTGGTCAAAGTGTCAAAATGATTAAAGATAGATAAAAGAAGAATCTATCAAGGTCTAATTACTATGAAAAATGTAGTTATTTTGATTGATATTTGGAAAAAATAATGTAAAAACTAAATGTAAACCACCTACTCTTACATCAACTACTATTTTATATTAAGCTAGATTCCCTACTACACAAAATTTATTCTTTGTTAAATAAATATAAATTATTTATGATTTAATTAGAATCTACTGTAAGTTTCAGTTCATGTAAATATTATCAAACATTCCTTAATATTTTCTACCCTTGAGAACGCCAATGAAATTCTGACTTCCCATAGTTCCCATATCTGAAACAGACGTCAGTACATCGTTACTAACTTCATTCCCATATTCAACTTTCATTATGGTCCCCCCTCTCTTTTCTTGTTTAAGGAAAGGATTCTCTCACTGACTCACTATCAAATCAAATATCGTAAATTGCAAGTATCAATGAGATGAGATGAGATGTCATCAAATAGATAACAAACTATTCCTGTACTACAATAAAAACACGTTATCAGTATGAAAATATTTGCTTTTTCATTTATAAAATAAAACCAAAGCAAGCCGTAAAATGTCAGGGGGTGCAAATAGGAAGAAAAATACCCGGTCGCAGGGTTGGGAAGAAGCTGGTTCTGAGTTTTATCAAGAAAGTTACCCCGCTGATACGGAAATTGAAGTTTTACAAAGGGATCCCAAACACTTACATACACTTTTACCCAGTAAACTAAATAGAGGAGGTAAATACTCTTTATTTTTTCTTATTTCTTGCATGTATTTGATTGTCTGAATGCTCTACTTAGTACTGCATTTTTTTGTTTTTAAAAATTCCAAAGGAAATTTTTTTCTAACTTATTAAACGAGATTTATTTCATTTTAAATTTTAATGATCAGATACTTTCATAAATAGTGTGTTCCATTTCACAAAGTATTTCCATTTTATGTTAAATTTTTGTTGAATTTCTATTTCTGCTAGCATATGATTAATCTGGTTCAGGTTCTTTGTTATTAAAACAATGCTTGGAGATTTAGCTTCTTTGATCTATTTTATGGTTCCTTCTAACAGTTGTGTGAGATATTTAAGAGCAAAGTATCTAATTTATACCTCCTTTAATTATTATAAACATTATTTCATCTTTTTTACTTTTGAATAATATTTCTAAGCCCCTGCTATTATATTTTTTTACATAGGTGTGCAATAAAATTTGATATATTTTTAAATATGTAGAAGGAAAATCATCCTAGATTAATTCACATTATTTAAATTTTTAAATGAAATCATATGTATGCAGATTATACTACAAAAAAATTAAAATTGTATTTCTAACATCTAAATTTGAGATACCCTATAGGGAAATAACTTTTATTCTTTATAAAATGATATGTGTTCGATGGAGAATTAAGTAACGAAAAACTCTGAAGGAAATGCACAAATTTATTCAGATGTTTACAGTTTAGGTTACAGAACTATACTAACTTAAGAAATACACACTATATCTACAAAAAACCTCTCATAGTTCTTGATAATACGTAAACACTTAGAGATTCTCGGCATGGGTGTTTATCATCTTCCAAAGGGTCTTGAATATTGAGATGAAACACACACACATGCAGTGGCGTGCTCGCCATAACACCTCCCTCCTGAAGACCGAAGCTGGGGTGTTCAAGAAGGGCTTCTTTTACAGCTTCGAAGTTTTGGCGCCTCTCTAGATATACTCCGCACAGGGCAGGTAGGGCCACATGGAACAAAAAAACCAACCGGCAATAACTCATTCTACTGTTGTTGTTATGAGAAGGCCGTAGATGAAGTGTACCACAAGGTAATCGAATTATATGTTGCAGTTATTATTGATTAAAATCCCTTTATAATATGGATAATGAAAGGTTATATCTACTACTTGCCGTGTTACACTTCAACTTCGTTTAGTTAATAGCATCATAAAATGGTTTTACATTATTAAAATGAAATTTTCGAATAACCTTGTTATCTAACTTAATTTTTAGAGTTTTATTGGTTTCATTGACTTCTTTTTTATGAATATGAGGGTGCCGATAATTTCGAGTATAAATCGGACTGGCATTTTCAGGGTTAGTACGGATACAATGTTTTATTCGGCTGCTAAAAGTTAGATGTTCGTTAGGTAACGAGAATATATTTTGGAATTTCACGTGAATATCTTTTATCTTTGTTTGTAATCTTTTATCTAGATGGTCTAATTTTAGTTTACTTACAATAGTATCGATTTTTTCACTTAAGTATTGTGAACTTTCACTTCGAACTTGAGGTTCGTGTATATTATTTAGACTCAATACATTATGTTCCCGATCAGATGAAAACAAAGGGATTTCCTCATGATTAGCAAATAAAGTATTTAAACCAAAGTCAATAACACATTTATTCTTTTCTAAAAAATCATAACCAAGTATTCCATCAAAAGGAGAATTTATGTCTACTATATAGAATTTCTGAACACTCGAAAATAACTTAAAATTTACGCTCTTTGTAACTTGAATTGGTTCGTTATTAATACCAAATATTTTAAAATCTTCATGATTAAAGTGATAAGAATCTAAAATTTTACCAGGTTTCAATATTGATATAGCTGCCCTGAATCAACTAATAACTTTATATTCAAATTTTTAATATGTGCGTAAAGAAGCGGTTTATTTGCTACTTGGTAAACTGTAAAGTTGTCAGCGGCACTTGTTCTAAAAAATCCTGATCAACTTCGATTTCTATTTCTTTTTCTGAATTATCGTTGTCGCAATAGGTATTATGAACAACATTGTGAGATTGTGGTTTACGATAACATTTTTCTGCTTTATGTCCATATTTATGGCAAACAGTGCACTTTGGAATAGTTAATTTAATTGGTGGATTTATCGATTGATTTGTTGAACCGGGATCAGAAAATGTTTTTTGAGTACCTGCAGTACTTGATGAAATTTTATTGTCATTATTTATATTTAATTTAGAAAACTTGTCATTTGTTTGTTTAAATATTGTTGGTTTTCATAATCGTTTAAAATTTGCTTAATTTGAATTAACGAACTAGGATTTAAAGAGCGAAGCATTTGACACAAAGGTTCTTTTATGCCGTAATAGCGGTCAGAATTGCAGTCTTACTGTGAAAATTATTTAAACATTTTTTCTCAACATCGTTCAAATTTGAATCGTATTTGATAACTTTATTGATTCTAATTAATTGTTTTTCAATTCTATCAACAAAATTTGTAGGTTTTTCATTAGAACTTTGCTTAAAGTGACATAACTCAAAATTTAGACACTGCAAATCCAAATTTTCACCAAACTGAGAAAGGAGAGCATTTTTTATTTCGTGCCATGTCGAAAATTCTTTCGAGCCAATGAAATCAAGAGCTTTTCCCTCTAACCTGCTTTTTACAATAAAAGGAAAAATTTGCAATTCCGCTGGGTCAAATTTTGCAAAAATAAAATCAACAGAATCTATAAAATAATGTAATTTTGAAGAAGACCCATCAAAAACATTTATAAGCTTGATAGCTTTGTCACAATTAATATAATTATTAGAGGTGGTAGCGGAAATTATTGGCGTAGTTGCTGTTACGTTGTTAGTTGCCATTGTATTAACAAAAATAAATTAAACAAATAAAAAAATGCAAATACTAGATATGATAGCTTGAAAGTTTGAAAATTGCGAAACAGAGTAAATAAAAAAATGAAAACAAATAAAAAATTAATATAATTCGACTAACCTCAAGTACTTCCGTGAGAATGTGGCTGTACACCGGAACGGGTCGAAAACGTTGCAGCGTCTCAGATCAAGTGGATTTACACTGGAACGGGTAGAAAACGGGTGGAGAACGTTGTATCTTCTGGATCAACTGGGTTTTCACTGGAACTGGTTGAAATTCTAAACTGTAGAGATGTTGTTGCTTCTTCTGTGGAAATGCTTCACCGTTTCCAGGGTCGAGTGGCTTTTCACTGAAGCTGGTTGAGAAGATTTCACGAAGTTGCTAGTTGCGCCTCCCCAGAACTTCCGAATTACTTTGTGGCTTTACACAACAAGTGGCCTTACACTTGGAATTCTTCTAAGTTGCTTACGGGTTCCTTCAGTTTTCCTTCCTCGTGGCCTTACACTCGGAACTCAAATACTAAGTCACTAATTCTCCAATTTTCCAATTAACGATTAAAATCGATTAAAAAAAGGCTTTACTTTTTCTAATTGGAAATCCTACTGACTGCGCCACTTTTATTCTTTATAAAATGATATGTGTTCGATGGAGAATTAAGTAACGAAAAACTCTGAAGGAAATGCACAAATTTATTCAGATGTTTACAGTTTAGGTTACAGAACTATACTAACTTAAGAAATACACACTATATCTACAAAAAACCTCTCATAGTTCTTGATAATAACGTAAACACTTAGAGATTCTCGGCATGGGTGTTTATCATCTTCGAAAGGGTCTTGAATATTGAGATGAAACACACACACATGCAGTGGCGTGCTCGCCATAACAAATATAACTCTTGGATCTCATGCAAAATGATCCTCTATGCAACTTTGGTTTAGTCACTAATTAATATTGTTTTTTTTTTTAATTATGGTAATTATGTAACAATCAACAACTCCATAATGACATAAGAGGGAATGGTTGTACCAGAAAACAATAAACCAATTTGTTAATATAAGATGCTAGCTTGCTGCATACCTTCTCTTCACTGAGGCATTCTATGAATTAACATTCGAATATTTTATTTTATTTATTTGTTTGAATATACTCTTGGGGCATATTATTTCACTTTTGCCACATTTGAGTGCAACATAAAGTTTGTTTTTGTTCTTAGCCACTATTTAGCAACTTCCTACATATCTACCTAAATAATTCCAGACATTTTAATAGGATTTCCATCTGGAGAGCATGTTTGCCATGTACTATCTCTATTCTAAATTAAATTGTGTATTCTGTAACAGAGATTGCTGTAACACCAGTCTCAAATTGTCTGGTGTGACTAATAAAGTCATTGCCTATAAAGTTTAAATACCATTAATGTACACTGCTGTCAAAATAAAAGAATAAGAATTGGAGAAGATTTTGAAAATGATGTTTGGTAGTTGCAAAAAGAATAAAAGTATCAAATTTATATCAGGAGAGTTGAAGAATGATGCCAATGTGATTTATAAGCAAATATTTTGTAAGCAAAGCACCAGTTTTAATAAGTGTTGATTGCTGTTATGGAAGACAATTAAATCTATATAAAAAATAGTCATAAGAGATAAGATATTACTTCTCAAATATTGATAATGTTTTCAGAATGAGTATCAGCTGGATTGTAGATCTCTTTCCTTCCAGAAATAGGGTTTATGAGTATTGTATAATTATTTGCTTTTATTTTATTTTTACAATTTAATAAAAAAAAGTACTTTATTATTTTGTTAACCTATGAATGCTCAATTTTTGTGTTTTGTGAACTGGTGTCAAATCTGGTGAATAAGCTAGTGTGTTCAATTAATTTGAAACCTCATTCACAAATTCTTTGGATGACAACATGTAATTTGTGTCCAGGGGCATTGTACTGTTGGAACAAAATACCTTTGAACAACTCACATTTTCTTTCCATATTTTTTCTCATAGAGTGATCTATAGAGTATCCTTATCTAGAAATAAATCACTTTGCAATTCCAAAAAAATGAACGAAATAACTGTTCCAGCAGGTCTCTTAACATGAACTTTCTTAATCTTTGGAGCACGATAA